TTTTAGAGAGCTTGATTATAATATGTCTTGGTGATTTTGGGGGGGGGGAGGTCTATCCTTCCTGGGGATTTTGAGTTTCTTGAATGTTTATCTTTTCGCTTTTCAGTATGTTAGAGAAATTTTCTTCCAGCAGTTCTTCAACTCTTTCCTCTGTGGACTTGTGTGATTCTTCCTGTTCTGTAATGCTGATAATTCTTAAGTTATTCCTCTTCATGTTGTCCAACATGAATCTTAGACCTTCTTCAGATTTTTTTATCCTTTTTTCTGCTTGCTCTTCTATCTTCTATTGAGAAATTTGTCTTCCAGCTCACTAGTTCTGCTTTCCATCTCTTCTATTCTACTCCTTTGCCCTTTCGGTGTATTGTCTATTTCTGATATTCTATTATTGATCATTCAGACCTCTTTTATAGGTTTTCAATTGCTTCTAATTCTATATCTATCTTATTTGATTGTTTCTGTAGTGCTTTCCATTTTAGTAGTTCTGATGGGACTGGGACAATTGGAGTCCTGATGTGTCACTATGGGATAAGCACTGGAACACAAGGTAGGTTTGAACCATAAGGTCAGTGGTCCAAACTCACCAGCTGGTCCTTGGAAACCCTATACAAGGTCGCTATGAGTCAGAAGCAACTCAAGGGCACTTACCAACAACAACAATGGGGCAGAGGAGAATTCAGTGGTAGAATTTTCAACTTCCATACAGAAGAATCAAGTTCTATTCTTGGACAATACACCTCTTGTACAGCCACCACTATGATGCAGAGCAGGTTTCAGTGGAATTTCCAGATGAAGACAGACTAGGAAGAAAGGCTTAAAGATCTGAAATTCGGATAGTGAAAACCCCATGGCACACAACAGTCCCCTGATTATGAGAATGGCACAGGACCAGGTTCCATTTTGCACCTTTTCTTTATCGGCAATTTAACTGAGTGGTTTTCAATCTGTCTAGAAGGGGCTAGTGAAAGGAGATGGGGATAAGACTCTTGTGGTTCAATAGCGAATAATAGCTATCAGAATTGATTGCAATTGTTGTGATTGTAAAGGTAGACATTTTTTAACAAAAACAAGGGAGTGGTCGATCTTGCAGTTTAGGAGCAGAGGACCCTGGGGTAGAAAAGCGGAGTGTGGGACCCTATCCAGAGAAGCAGCGATGCCAGAGATGGATGCAGAGATGATGACGTTGAGAGATGGATCAGCTGGGGATTCTAGACTCATGGAGGGAGAAGGGCTGTGTGCTGGTGTGGGGTCGAGGGGAGACAGGTATGCTCTTTGGTTGGTTGAATTATTATATATTATATTATATTATATATTCCTGAGAGCTTCAGTGCACATCAAAATAACAAAGGGAATAGAAGCAAATATTGTTGAATGATGCATGGAGGGGGTTGTAATCATTGCAATGAAACAAAATATGATAGGATGAATGCAAAGCTGATGTTCTCCCATGTAAACTATCACTCAATTCACAATAAAAACTTTTTTTTTTAAGTTTCTTGGCAATTTGAATGCCTACTTCTGTGAAGTATCTGTTCAACTCTTTTGACCATTTTTAAATGGAGTTGTTTGTCTTATTTTGAATTTTCAATTTTTCTCTATTTGTGCTCTGGAGTCCTTGACTGGTATAAAAGTTAATACACTCATCTTCTAACTGAAGGGTTGGAAGTTTGAGTCCACCCAGAAGTGCCTCAGAAGAACGACCTGTTGACCTATTTCTGAAAAATCAGCACACTTCTACTCTGACACACGTGAGATTGCCATGGGTCAGAATTGACACAATAGCAAACTGTTAATGATTATACATGTTCTAAAACACTGCTCTTTGTTAGATACATGCATTATGACTATTTTCTCTCAGTTTACTAATTGGACACTTCATGTTCTTAACCATGTCTTTCAAAAAACACAAGTCTTTATTTTTGTTAAGTCTGACATATCATTATTTTTCTTTTGTGATCTGTACTTTGGGTATCCTATTAAAGACATCTTTAGCATTCTCCAAGGCTGAGATGGTTTGTTTGTTTTATTCTAGAAGTTTTATCATTTGCATTTTGCATACGATCTGCTCCTGCTGCTGCTGCATACCATCGAATTAATTCAGACTCATAGCCTTCCAAGGCTGTAAATCTATATGGGAGCAGAAAGTTTCTTTTTCCCATGGACTTAAACTGCTGACCTTGTTGTTAGCAGTCCAACGTATAATGTACTACACTTCCAGGGTTACTTGGCATATGATCTATTTTAAATTAATATGCTTAATTCCGGTTTCATTTTACACAGACATTTTTTTTTAAGTTACTTTTTTCCCCTATAGGATATCCAATTGTTCCAGTAACATTTGTTGAAAAGAGTATTTCCCTGTTGAATTACCTTAACGTCTTTGTAAAAAATGAACTTCAAAAAGTGCCTGAACAAATGGAATTAAAAAGAGAATGGAATTTTTCCACAAACTTTCTGAAACCTCCTTGTATATGCACACGTCTATTTCTAGATCTCTACTCTGTTCAGTGATCATATGTCAGTGTTTACTCCACTACCGTTGTTATTGTTGTTAAGTGAGGTCGAGTCAGTTCTGACCCATGTTGTTGTTGTTAAGTACCCTGGAGTCAGTTCTGACTCATACTGACCCTGCACATGGTTTCCAAGGCTGCAAATCTTCACGGGAGCAGAATGCCTCATCTTTCTCCCGCAGAACCACTGGTAGTTTCGAACTGCTGACCTTGAGGTGGGCAGCCCAACTCATAACCACTATGCTACAAGAGCTCCGGCCCATAACGATCCTGTGTAAGTTTCCCAAGCAGCTGGTAAGCTTGAATCTCTGACCTTGCGATTCAAACCGACCATGCAGTCCAGCGCATTAAACCACAGTGTCACACCAAGACACCACTATTGTTTTTACTACTACCTTGAATGTTGATAGTTGGTAATATAATCCTCCAGATTTATGGGCTTTTTTTCCCCCTTTTATTCCAGAATTGTTTCTAGATCCTTTATATTTCCATATAAATTTGGAGTATCGATTGATTTTTTAAATTCCTGTTGTGATTTCTATTTTTATTACACTTACTTAACAGATAAATTTGGAGATAACTGACATCTTGATAATATTAATGTCCTGCTCCGTGATCATGGTTTATCTTCACATTTATTTTTATCTTGAATGTCTTTCAGTAGTGTTTTGTACTTTTCAGTATGTAGGTTTTCAACGTATTTTCTAAAATTCATCCCTAAATATTTTATAATTTTGGAAGGTATCATAAATTTAAGGAGCCCTGGTGGCACAGTGATTAAGTGCTCAGTTGCTAATCAAAACTTCTTGGTTCAATCCCACCAGCTTCTCTGCGGGAGAAAGATGCGGCAGTGTGGTTTCCTAAAGATTTTTATAGCCTTGGAAACTCTACAGGGTAGTTCTACTCTGTCCTATACCTCACTGAGTCGTAACTGCTGGCAATGGGTTAGGACTTTTGGACCACAAATTTTACACAAACACATGCAAAATTTCCAATTGCTTGCTCATTACTAGCGCTTAGGATGGATATTTGCCTAGTAACTGCAATCTTGATAAATTCACTTCTTAGTTCGATAAAAGTTTTTTTGTGTTTTTTTTTTTTTGGCGATCCCTTAGGATTCTCTAAACACAAGAGCATGTGATTTGCAATTCAAAACATAGTCATTGCTTTTCAAATAAGAACTTTGTGATTTATTTTTAAGTTCTGAATATCCAACAACAAAGCTCTGTTGCACAAGACGCTCATTGGTCAACTTCATGGAAGGTCCTCATGTGTCGGGGCCCCTCATTAAGGGAACTTTCACCTGCCCTGTTCTTTTCCAAGTTCTAAAAATGCAGCTGCCTGTAGAGTCTATATTTATATAATGACATTGCAGAAGAAACAGCTGGTTGTGGGGTTTTCTCCCAACTTTTTCAAGTAAAAATACTTTCTCTGTTCCTTCTTTGTTAAATGCATATTGATTTTTGTTGTTGGTAGCTAATTGAGAAGGAACAAAACAGAATAGTATTTAAAAAAAATTTTTTTTAAATCCACTCTCCCAGGCTTTTCTTATGACACAAGTTGTTCACACATTTTAGTGGCGGGAAAATGGTGTTCAGTGGTAGCAGAGAGAACAGCAGGGAGAAGTGAAGTGTAGCAGCGGAGAAAGAAGAGAGGGGAAAAACCAAATCCCTGGAGAAGCAGCAGAAATGGCCAACAATCCTTAAAGTAAATGCTGCCCTTCCCTGGCAAGCAGAGAAAGGCTCAAGGCTCTGCAAAGAGTGGAGAGTGACAGGCCCCGAAGATAGCGATAGTAAAGGAACCTGGGCAAAGGAGAAGTGGGGTGGGGGAGGAGGGGTCGACTGGAGTGGGCACGGGGTCGGGGCGGAGCCGCGTGGCCACGAGTCATCACGTGACTGGCCAGCACCTACTCGCGCGCCTCCCTCCTGAGTCAAAGCGGCCCTGGCGCGTCCCTCCTCGGTACCTGTTCCCAGAGGCCCTGAGGGCGTGCGGGCTAGGGACAGCCCAGGGACCGGGGAGGCTGAGGCGGAGCAGGTAAGGAAGCCAGAGGCGTCCCTGGGCTGGTGTGGGAGCGCCTGCATGGCAGGGAGGTAGGCGGGCAGAACAGCCTCCTAGGCTTCTGGAAGCCCGGGCTGAGCAGGTCCCGGGGTGCAGCCCACATGGTCCACTGCGAACCGGTGCGTGCGGGTGCAGAGCATGGGAGGTCTCTCCCGGCCCTGTGGGAGGGTGATCCCCAGGCATCGACCACTGGCAGACACCTGCCTCTCCCACTACCGCAGGCTCCCCCAACACCCCACTCAGCCCCCCACCCCGCCCCTGTAGTGCAGAAAATGGTGGTCTATGAGGAGGGAGGGGCGGTGAGGGTGAGCACGGAGGCTGGCTGGGTCCGAGGGTGCTAAGCATATCCCCTCCTTCCTGCACCCCCACCATCTGCAGGTCTGCGGGTCTGAGGTTCCAGACGGCGCACCTGGGGGTAAGGATCAGGAGGAGGAGGAGACTGCCAGGATAGGCCCAGGTTGGTGCGAGGGACCATGTGCCGGTGGGGGTGGTGAAACAAGAGCAGAGCCCAGTCCGAGACCCTTGTCATCACCACCACCCCCCCAGCCCTGTCCTCCATTTTGGTGCCTGTAGAGGTCTGGCAATGGAGACGCAGGAAAAATGGTGGGCTTAGGGGAGGAAGGGGAGAGCACTGGGAGCCCCCTAGAGGGCGCCCTAGTCGCGCAGGTGGGAAAAATGATATTTTTTAAAACCTTTGAATATCCAGGGCTCTGAGGGTTGAAAGGTGCATAGTAGGGCCTCTGTCCTCGGTGCTGATTCGTACAGAAAGCATTCAGTCCCTTCTCTGGCCTTTGTCTCCTAGGAGTAATGGAATCCAAAGAGGGACAAGCGGGAAAAAATCTCCATGTGGAAAATACCCACCAAGAAAATGAAGAAAAGGAGGAAAAAGAGCAAGACACTAATAAAGGAGAGCCCTTGACACTCCCTTTGGAAGCTGATGAATTTTGTGTACCTAGAGGAAGTCGTAGGCGACCCCGTGTTAGGCAGCCTATCCTGCAATATAGATGGGACATGATTCAGAGGCTTGGAGAGCCACAGGCAAGGATTGGGGAGGAGGTAAGAGAGCTGATGGAAAAACTTAGGGGAAAGCAATTGAGTCATAGTCTGAGGGCGGTTAGCACTGACCCCCCTCACCATGACCATCATGATGAATTTTGCCTTATGCCATGAATTCTGATGTTTTTCCTGAAGTTAATAGAGAAACCCCTGCTTCCTAAACTTACATATGTGTAAGATACCTTTATTGTAAACTTTTTGATATTACTTGTTTCTGATGGGTCTCTTTTACCAGCTTCTAATTGAATGTTGTGCTTTTGACCCAGTCTGTAAGTTTCTGTCAGCCAGGGAGATTTACCTATTGCCTGGAAACATGCTTGTTATATATTGTGAAATTAATAAAGCAGTTTTAAAAAGCATCCTCTATATGTATTGACATTATTTCAAATCTTACATTTATTTTTCATATATAAATATAAACACTCTAAGAATATATAAGGCCAAATATTGCAGTGTTTATTTCTTTGTGGTTGAATTATGGATAATTTTTTCTTGTTTATAGCTTATCATTTTTCAAAACTGAACAAATATTAATAAACGAGTTTGATCATCTTATTAAAACAAAGTGAGCACTAACAAAATTGAATTGTTGCAGAACCTCAATTTTAGTTTACTTCTGGATCTTATTTATCAGTATAAACTTGATAAGAGACATTTCTTTAAAGATCATTATATTTATTTCTGTTTCGTTCTTCTGTGCATAGGGTCGCTATGAGTTGGTACCGACTCGATGGCACCTAACAACAACAACATATCATAAGGATACTAATCACCTCCCAGGAGTCCTAGTGTGGTGCTGTGGGCTAATGCGTCAGACTGCAAAGTAGTTTGAACTGCAAATTCAGTGGTTCAAGCTCACCAGCTGCTCCTTGGAAACCCTATACAGGGTCACTATGGGTCAGAATTGACTCGATGGCAGTTAACAACAACAACAATCACCTAGCAGGGCTGCTGTGTGCACCAAATAAGTTGTAATTTTCTAAAACCCTTTGTTCCCACCATCACACGTATGACCCAACCCTCTAGATATTCCCTTCAGCTATTTGCGGAAGTTTCCAAAATGAAGTCTTCCCTATATGCACAAACAAGTACAATGGACTGAGAGGTCAGTAATTCCATTCCTCTGTTACAATACCCAATCCCCATGCTCTCCCTGGATATCTTCTGGGTCTTGTTCCTTATGCTGGCCACCACCACTGTAGATGTTCAGATGTTCTCAAGGTAGAGAGATTCCCACTGATTTCTCTAAACCCCACAGTGGACTGAACATTCACTCAACAAAGATGTGGATAAGCCCCCCTCTCCCTATTTAGCTTTATGGAAAACCTTGTCTGTTTGGTTTTCTTTTTCCTTTGAGTGAATTCTCACAGGAAACCACCTCCCCAGTTCAGCAGACATATGAAGGAATGCAGGACACTTTGAAATTGAGACAGTCCCACCTTATACCAGCCAATCTCCCATGAATGTAAAGAATTTTGCCATCCTAAATTGAGTTAAAGGAGCCATGGTCACACAATGGCTTAATACTCGGCTGTGTGGCCCCACGGGAGAAAGACCAGCAATCTGTTCCTCTTAAGTTATTTGTTAAGTGCTGTTGAGTTGGTTCCGACTCAGCAACCCTATATAGGGTTTCTCAGGAGTGGCTGGTGAATTTGAACCACCAACCTTGTGGCTCAAACTGACCTTGCGGTCTAGTGCTTATCCTACAAAGCCACAAACCCCATGAAGCTTTTCTACTGTATCAAATGGGGTGGGTCACTATGAGTTGAAAATCAACTTGATGACACCTAACAACAATCTATTAGTTAGATGGTTAGGAAATAGTGTCAATGCATTTGAATTCCCAGATACGAAGTCTTCATGAGGAGTACATAGGAGGGCTACTAGGTTAAGTGTCTCGACTCAACTTAGAAAACAAAGTTGCCCTCAAAGTGTGCTGATCAACTCAAATATAAACATTATGTATGAAGACAACCTTTTGTAGAAGTAAACTTAAAAGTAGGGTTCTACCTATCCTTGGTGGTGGTGGTGGTGATGTGCCAGAGAGTTGATTCCAATTCATAATGGCCCTGCATAGGATTTCCAAGGCTGCAAATCTTTCTCCTGCCGAGCATCTGGTAGATTTAAACTGCTGACCTCGTGACTAACAGCCCAACTCATAACCCATTACACTACCAGAGCTCCTAAACCTACCCTTAATCAATACAATTTGTCTATCACTATAAAATGAAACTCAGTGCTCAATAATAAATAAACCCTCTTTCCCCCATCCCCACCTTCAAACTGGGTAGTCACTAATAAACTTTGGTCTCTATAGATTTGCATGTCTTTTAATAAGTGAAGCTATACAAATTTGTCTTTTCGTGATTGACTTACCTTCCCTCAGCATAATATCTTCAAGCCCCATCCATGTTGTAACGTGTATCAAGACTTCATTTCTGTTTCTGGAGGAGTTGTATTCCATTGTATGTACATACCACATTTTGTTTATCCATTCATTTGTTGATGGGCATTTAGGTTGTTTGTACATTTTGACTATCGTGTATTATACTGCAATAAACATTTTGGTATTTTAAAAAAGAGTGAATAGTGGGAAATACTGCTAACTGAAGATACATGGAGGAGATTGCAATCATTGTAATGAAACAAAGTATATGATTTGTTGAAGGTAAAATTGATGATCTGCTCTGTAAACCTTTACTCAATTCACAATAAAAAGTTTTTTTTTAAAAAAGGGGGGGGGGTTCTAGAACAAGTTAGCAAACCATATCCTATGTGTGAAAAATTTTTTTCTGGGAGCGGACTACAAACAAAGAATGGTTTTTACATATTCCGTGGCTGAAAAAAGGAACAATATTTCGTGACACATGACCATTAAACAAAATTAGTATGTTTGTTTCCATAAATACAGCTTTATTGGAACCCAGACACGCTCATTCGATTATGTATTGTCTATAACTTTTTGCACTACAGTGGCAGAGTTGAGTAGTTATAACAGAGAGCGTACAAAGCACCTGAAAAGTCTAAACTATTTACCATCTGGACCTTTACCAAAAAAATTTTCTGAACCCTGTCCTAGAATATATAGCAATGCAATAACACCTGTGAAACCCAAAGGAAAAACTGGTGTTGTTTATGTGCCACACAGTCGATTCCAACTCATAGCGACCCTGTACAGGGTTTCCGAGGCTGTAAATATTTACGGGAGCAGAAAGCCTCATCTTTCTCCGGTGGAACAGCTGGTATTTTCGAACTGCTGACCTTAAGGTTTGCAGCCCGTTTCGTAAACACTACACTAACAGGTAAAAATGTCAAAATATCAAATACAGCAAAGTTCAGACATCAAGAATCAGATGCCTAAACAATGCCAAAGCTCTCCCTCCTCCAGATGCTTGCGACACAAAGCAAACTTAAGCAAGCTAGAAGTTTATAAAGGGAAAGGGCAGGAAAATGGATAAACAAGACATAAGTCTTACCAGGCTTCTTATTCCTGATTACTAATGTTAGCACCAACCTCTACAGAAAAGGGAAGCAGTCTGGCTTCAGTGGCATAAGGGTATTCAGCAGTTTCTTTGGGAAGAGAAATTGGAGGCTCACTTCTGAGTCCCTGACATTAGACATATATGCCCAGGAAAATATACATCTCTTCCATGACAAGGCAGATCCAAGTTGCCCTGTCAACTTCAGAGAAAGATGGGTTTAGGGTTCCAGTCTCTAGAGAGAGAATCCTGTTATCCAACTTTCTTTACCTGTTAACAGTGGGTCTGAAGAAGTATCTCTGGAGATAGCTTGTGAGTGGTCACTAGCCATGTACAATGCCCCGCCCCCCCCAAAAAAAAACAGCAGAAAAGTGAGCAAAAGATAATAAGGAAACAGGGGCATGTGGTACCCTTGAGGGGAACAGTCATATCCAAGGTTCTGCTTGTCTTTGCCTATTAATGTCACTGATAAATGTTGTATTGTAAGCTCCCCTTGCTCCCTTCAGTGTAACCACTGAATTCTAGGCATTCCCATAAAGCATGCCCTAATCACAAGATGTTCAAGAAAAAAGTTTGGGATGTAGGTAGGGATTGAGGCCATTGGGGTTTGGCCCATCATGTGCATCCAGTATTTTATTTATTAAATTAATTTATAACAAACTAAGATAAGTATGAATGTAGTGGTATTCAACAAATGATAAGTAAACAATTGGGGGGTTTATATATTTCTAACAATTGAGATTATAATGAAGATATTATTTCAAAAGTTTTAAATAAAGACAATTACCTTTTTATTTTAATCCAAGCTCTTTGAAAGAAATTCATAAAATAAATTTTAGGGCCATCTTGTGGCCAAAGAAAGCATTGCAGCTTGAAGCTTCTAGTCCAGGACAGAGTAGCGCAGACACATTGACACTGGACTCTTCTAGCAAGTTCAAATAGCACATGAAGGGCGCTCTGAAGTATGAGACAAGAAATATGGCCATCCTGGCCTCCAAGGATATCTCTAGACATAGGTATATACATGTATACATGTGCTGCATATATATAAATATTATATTTATATTCATATATGCCACTGCCATCAAGTCAATTCCAACTCATAGCAACCCTGTATAAGGTATCCGAGGCTGTAAATTTTTACAAGAGTGGGATTGCTGAATCTTAACATATTTCTATTTCTAGCTTTTGGAGGAAGTACCATACCATTCTCTATAATGGTTGCAGTCAACTATCTTTTAAAGAAATAAAAACAAGAACAAAGAAAGCTTTTATATATGTAGTTACTATTTCCAGTAATTTTCATTTCTCTGTGTACATCAGTATTTATAACTGGCATCATTTTTTCTTTGTCCTAAAACACTTCCTTGAACATTTCTCGTGGCGAGGGTCTAATGGTGATGAATTCTTTAAGTTTTTTTTTAATCTTAGAAAGTCTTTATTTCACTTT